CCGATTTTATCCCAATGAGAACTGCGTTGGACCTCTGACCTACAGAATCATAAAATACATCCGTGCTGCTACATTTGTGGAAATGTATTACAGCCGCAATAGAACACTAACGGAGGATGTGTGTACAGTTAGAGGTCTCGAGTGGAGTGTGGAGAGGAAGGCTGGGATCAGACCAAGCAGTGCCTTGAAGGCTAGGGTTAAAAATCCTGATAATTACGCCTAAACTACAGGGTGAAATGAGATGCTGGTATAGAGTTTTAGGAAGAACTACCTGGCATTGCTGTTTTGCAGACTACAGTGATACCTCGGTTCTCGAACGCCTCGGATTTCGACCAAATCGGTATTCGACCAGGAGATTCGAGAAACTTTTGTCTCGGAATCCGAACAAATATTTGGAACTCGAACTTCCGAGATGAGCCGAGTTGAGCCGAATGGCGTTCATTCAGCCCAGCGCGCCTTGCTTGCGTCATCAGTGTGAGTGCAGAGAGAGAGTCACGCTTTGTGGAGAGAGTCACGCTTTGTGGAGAGAGTCACGCTTTACACTGAATTTAACCCTTAGACATACTGTACACTTTTATTTCTTGTTGAGACTTATGTTTTTCTACATATTATATACAAATTAGGCCAGTAAATAGGCATTTTCTGGGGCTTGGAACGAATTAATCCAGTTTCCATTATTTCCTATTGGGTTTCATTGCTTCGGTTCTCGAACAATTTGGTTCTCGATCGTCCTCCTGGAACGAATTATGTTCGAGAACCGAGGTATCACTGTATTTGGAATGAGAAGAGCATTGGGGAAGAGGAAGCAATTAAACCTCTATCAAAAAGTAAGGAGTACAGTACAGTTGTCCCTCGTTAATCGCGGTTAATCCGTTCCAGACTCTAGCGGTTGCACCTGGCGTTGAAGAATTCCTGAGGTGCTCGAATACACAGGCCTACAGTCCATACGTACAGTAATTTTAATTTTAATACAGGGGTGTATAATTGACTCAGACAACCGAGCATGCGCTGTATCATTTTCACTGTCTCGATCAACTTTTTAATGAATATATTTGAAAAAACTGCGATAGAGTGAAGCCGCGAAAGTCAAAGCGCGAAGTGGCGAGGGACGACTGTAAACTGGTGATGGGGCCTCAGTGGAGGCAGGTGTGGGAATGGGAAAGGACAGAGATGCAAGCATTACTTTGAAGGAACTGCTACAGGTCTGACGATTCCGTGCCAAGGAGAGTTAGCCAATGTGTGGACTAGAGGTTTGTGTCTCCTGAAAATGCCCATTGAAACCCCAGAGTGATGGTATTTGGAGGAAGTCAGGGTCATGAGGGCGGAGCTCTTAGGCCCGGGATTAGTACCTTTAGAGGAGTCTCACAGGGCTTGCTTCCTTCCGTTTCCACCATGTGAGGATGCAAGGAGGAGAGCCATCTTCAAACGAGGAAGCGAGCCCTCACCTGGACCTCTATGTAGGACTTCCCGGCCTCCAGAGCTGAGAAAGAGATGTTCGCTGTGCCCTCCATGGTCCTTTGTTATAGCACCCTGAACCGACTAACAATGTTGAAACCCAGGGGGTGGACAGCTGGTTTCAGGAGAAATGAGCTCTTTTCAAGCATGTTGACTTGTATGAGAACAGTGAGTAATTCTGGCAGGAGTTGGGAATGGGGCTGGTGCTCAGGGGAGAAGCCAGGCAGGGATGCAGACCTGTGATCCTGCTGGTCGTGGTAGTCGTGCCACGAATATGAGAGCAGATAGGGTCTCTGGAGATTGGAGGGAGGGAGCAAAAGGTTGTATTTGTAGATGGAGGTCAAGGGACCAAAGAAGGAGACTTGTTGACTAAGCTCCCACTATGTGTGAGGGACTGGGCTGCTGTGAAGGCTCTGGCCCCGCGGGAGCGAGTACCTGGCTGTTCTCAGTAGGTTCCTTGCATGTGGCCATGATAATGAACAAAACAGGTAAGACAAGGGCATGCACGTGACTGTGTACACTGACTGCTGGAGCTGGTGGGAGGAAAGAGAAAAGATGCTTCGTTCCTCTCAGCCTTCTCTAATAAGCAGGCTCCATTGAACCCTTTTATATTCTTTCCCTCATGACTTCACTTTTGCCTTCTTCACAAATCCTTCCCCCCAATCCCCTTCAGACTTTTCTCTAGGGAGTTCCACAGGCCGGGTGCAGTTCTCCTTACTTGTCCTCTGCATCAGAACTTCTTCACTGTATACAAAGACCCGAAGACAGGAGCACCCGTTGCCAGGCGACCAGCTCTTCGGGCCAGACTCCTGTTGTGTTCTTGCCTCTCCACTCCTGTGCTCTGATGCATACCTGGTACAATTACAATTGCCCTCTCTGTTTTTGTCTTCTTGCCTACATTTCTTCTTCTTCGATTTACTAACAACTCATTTTATTCTAATGAAACTTGATGCCTGTCTTCCTCCTGTGGGATATATTTCCTCTCTGACTGATATACAGCCCTGTTGCTTCCAACAATCCTGTAGAGTAGATGTATTAGGAAAGAATACCGTTCGTCCTATTTGTACTGCTAGGTGGTTGTGATTGAAGCTTTCTGGGGAGAAAAATGGATCTACTATGGTTTAAACTAGAGGGGAGGAAATAGGTTCATTAGCTGAATAGGTATTGAAAAGAAATACATGTACTTTTTAAAGAAAAACGTTAATCCTCACCCAAGGATATGTTTTTATTGGTTTTGAGAGAGAGAGAGAGAGAGAGAGAGAGAGAGAGAGAGAGAGAAAGAGAGAGAGAGAGGAACATCGATGTGAGAAAGGCACACTGGCTGCCTCCTGTACGTGCCCTGGAACCTAGGTATGTGCTGTGACTAGGAATCAGACCCACAACCTTCTCAAGTATGGAATGACGCTCCAGTAACCTGAGCCACCCGCCCAGGGCTACGTATGCTTTTTATTAAAGACTCTTCTAGCCCAGCCAGTGTGGCTCAGTGGTTGAGCATTGACCCATGCACCAAGAGGTTGCCAGTTTGATTCCCGGTCAGGGCACATGCCCAGGTTGTGGGCCAAATCCCCAGTGGGAAGCAGGCAGCAGGTAGCCAATTGATGTTCTCTCTCATCGATGTTTCTATCTCTCTCTCCCTCTCTCTAAAATCAATAAAGAAAAAAAAGAGTTTGTATAGTATCAAACAGGAGTATCCACAATTGTCTGAAAGGCTGTTAAAATACTAAAAAAAAAGAAGACTCTTCTATAGAAACGGAGGTGAGGCTGTAAATCTGTAAATGGTTCAGTACAATAGAAGTATCCATAACTTGGAAGGATTAGGAAACATCCAGCTCTATTGTTCTCACCACTCACTGCGAAGGAAGGAGCAGTGCCTACGGAATGAACTGTGGTTCTTACTGCTTTTAGCAGTAACTAAAAGTTCTGATAGTACTTATGGGTCTTTAATCTGTAAACAGAACTGAAGACCTGCCATATGCACAGCTTACTCAGACTATAAAATCCTTGTCAGAATAGAACGCATTTCTGCTGTAAGTAATCATCTATCCGATGCTTGCACTCCCTTGTGTTTCAGACTCAGCCATGTTTGTGCCCAGAATGAGCAGCCCATGAACAGTCAGTCAAAAGGACAAAGGGAGGAATGGGTACAGCTATAAATTAATAGGTTTGCAGATAAAAAACACACAGAGCAAATAGTAACAAAAATAGTTTATATTATAACTTAAAATAAGATTCTTTCATATAAAAATAGCAAACTATAATCAATGCCTTTTCTACCCTATTACAAAAGGACATCAAAAAATGCTGGACATTCGGCCATTAATTGCATTTCTTATATTTAATTTCCACATTTCACGTGTGCTAGCCATAATTTCACCTGTTGTTTATACAGTATTTCACATTGTAATTATTCCAGAATTACATTTACTAGCCTGTGGTTATTGAGCACTTGGAATGTGGCTAGATCAAAGTGAGATGTGTTTATAAATGTAAAAATACCAGAATTTGAAGACTTAGTATGAAAAAAATAATGTAAAAACTCAACTTTTATATTCACATTTTCAATATATCAGATTATAAAATTTCCAAAATTAATTTCATTAATTTTTTTTTAAATGTGGCTACAATAAAATTAAAAATTACACGTGACTCACATTAATTCTACTTCAGTTGGACAGTTCTGGGCTAGAACATTTGAAATCCAAGTGGCCAGAGCTTTAACTTACCAGTGTCTTATATACTCACTACCTGCTATTGGAAATGGGAACTGCAAAGCAAAATAACAATCCAGCTACTTCTGTGCATGCTTTTAATTTTTTTCTAGTGAACATATATTACTTTTTAAATAAAGAGAATAAAAATGTTATATTCTGTTACAAAAAATGGACTGGCATTTAGGACATGTAGAATAAAACAATAAATCAAATCCCCCTATTGTGAACATATTTTACACCTGCACCAGGAGAAGAAGATGCGGCCACAGAGCGGGAGGACACAACAGTTCAGCCTACTTTATAGATGTTACAATGCTCGTCCCAGTGACTGCTCGTGCCAGCCAGTGTGGCTGTGCAGGCCACCGTGCTCCCACTCCTGTGCCCGGAGGAAAGAGGAGCCGTTCTCCGGCCCCAGGAATTAAGAATACACACTTAGTCCATAATGGCAATGTGCAAGTTTCTTTTCTTTACATATCTAGTATATGAGAACTTTTACTATAAAATTCACTAATTCTAATGACCTGACATAAAGAGACTTGTCTATAAATTATTTCAAGTGTGACTGGTTAAGGATTTTCGGTGAAATATAGCATAACGCACCCTGGCTGGTTTGGCTCAGAGGTTGGAGCATCGGCCTGCGGACCAGAGAGTCCCAGGTTCGGTTCCCGCTAGGGGCACATACCAAAAAAGAAAAAAAAAGAAATATACCATAACGCTTCTTTTTTTTTTTCTTACTAGTTAAGAGCAATTTATTTTTAAATGTTGCTTTTGTGCTGTTTTCCAGCAACCTACCGGAACGGCTGTTTTAATAGCCTTCTTCTGACAGCGGCTCAATCCCAGCCACCATGCACCTTGCCGCTTCAGGCCTGTGCAGGAGGGCCTCTGGAATCTGAATTTCTAGTCACACTCGGGTGCACTCACTTCGTCTGCAAGAGCCACGGGCACGACCACACCCTGCCGGTGCAGCTCCCGGAGCACGTCCAGTATTGAGTCTAACTCAGTGCGGAACTTTTCCAGCTCACGATTCTTCAACTGCGCGAGTCTTTTCCACTTCTCAATTTCTTTGTTTTGCTCATTTTCTACTACTTGGTGAGTCTGCTGTATTATCTGTGAACAAGAAAATTCCGTATTACTGCCGAGTTCACAGTGGGAGTGAAGGACACTTAACAATCCCAGAGAGCTGAAGTGCGACAATGCTGCCCACGGCGAGCCGGTGCCTGGGAGGGGAGCGAGGGGAGCCCCACCTAACGGGTGTCACTGTGTCAACAAACAGCCTTGCCGGTGAAGATTGTAAGGAAAGGAAATTTAGTATCTAATTCTGATAGGGAGTTTTACAGTCTTTTTTTTTTTTTCAAGCTGTGGATGATAAGAATACCATTTAAAGCATCAGAAATTATTTCTAATTCCTTGGTATGAATCCAAACATCTCCCATATGTGGTTCCTCTTCAGAACAGCACTTGAGATGCAATCAAGGCAGTTTTAATGTACAACAAATGTTATTACAATCACCACAGAACCAGAAATAATGATAAAAGCACACACACGTAGCATCTATTGTTTGCCAGGCTTGGTTGAAGCATTTTATCCAGGTTAACTCATTTAATCCTGCCAACACTACCGGGAGGCAGATTTTATATATTTACCCCCATTTAGCAGGTCAAAAAATGGAAGAATAGGTAAGTAAAAAACAAACAAACAAACAAACCAATTTGGTCAAGGCAGTCTGGCCCCAGAGCCCCTGCTATTAACTACTACACCAGACTGCCTAGCTAGGGGCTCAGTTTTTTCAACTGTAAAGTGAAGGTGCCCTGAAGGGAATCATCAGGCATAACATTACAAATTACAGAAAGCTAGACATACAAAAACTAGTTAGGGCACCAAAACCAACCATGTTTCTAAGTGTTGAATATGCTGAACATCCCCAATATAACTTTTATCTATAATCCTGCCTTGCTATAGAACAATTTAATTCTAAAATGAAAACACATCAGAAATATTGTGTAAACAGGTGTTTGAGTTAAGGAGAACACAAAATGCTGTATACATTTAAAATTCTAAGCTAACACTATCACCTCACAAAGTTTCGAAATTATTTCCTTGTGAGGAAAATTTAAGATTTATTTTCTTAGAAATTTTCAAATACACAACACAGTATTGTCTACTATAGACATTATGCTGTACATTGCATACCCAGAGTTTGTACCTTTTGACCATCTTCACCGTTTCCCTGCCCACCCCTCTCCACCACCTCCACCAAACACCAATTTGATCTATGAGTTTGGCTTTTTAGATCCTACATGTGAGATCATACAGTATTTATCTTTCTCTGACTTATTTCACTTAGCATAATGCCCTCAAGGTCCATCATGTTGTTGCAAATGGCAGAATTTCATTTTTTTAATGGCTGAGTATCACTGCACTGTGTGTATACACACATTTTCTTTATTATTTCATCCATCAGTGGGCATTGATGTTGTTTCCACGTATTGGCTGTCATAGATAATGCTGCAGTGAATATAAGGTGCATTTATCTCTTTGGTATAGTGATTTTGTTTCCTTCAGACATATCGAGTAGAACTGTTGGATCACATAGTTCTGCTTTTAATATCTTAAGGAACCTCCATACTGTTTTCAATAGTGGCTGCACCAGTCTACATTCCCAGCAACACTGCAGAAAGGTTCCTTTTTCTCCACATCCTCACCAATACTTGTTATTTTTGTCTTTTTGATGACAGCCATTCTAACCAGTTGATGTGATACTTTATTGTGGTTTTGACTTGCATTTCCCTAGTAATTAGTGATCTTGAGAACTTTTTCATGTAGCTGTTGGCCATTTAAATATTTTTGTTGGAAAAAGGTCTATTCAGGCCCTTTGCCCATTTTTAATTGCATTATTATTATTTTTGCTATTGAGTTATATGAGTTCCTTGTATATTTTGGATGTTAACCCCTTATCAGATGTGTGGTTTCCAAATACTTGCTCCCACTTCATATGTTGCCTTTTCATTTTGTTGATTATTTCTTTAGCCATGCAGACTTTTTAGTCTGGTGTAGTCCCACTTGTTTACTTACTTTAATCAATAATCAGTGATGTAAGATAGGGATATAGTTTCATTCTTTTGCATGTGAATATTCAGTTTACCCAGAATCATTTATCAAAGGGACTGTCATTTCTCTGTTGAGTGTTCTTTACTCCCTCATCAAATATTAGTTAACTGCATATGCATGGATTTATTTCTGGGCTCTTGATTCTATTCCACTGGTCTGTGAGTCTGTTTTCATGCAAGCACCATACTATTTTGATTAGTATAGCTGTGTAATATAGTTGAGATTACTATGATGCCTCCAGCTTTGTTTCTTGCCAGGACTGTTTGGGCTATTTGGGATCCTTTGTGATTCCATATGAATTAAAAAATGTTTTTCTTATAGTCATGAGCCACTTAAGGAGGAGGGATATGTTCTGAAAAATGCATTGTGAGGCAGTATTGTCATTGTGCACACATCATAGAGTGCACTTACACAAACCTAGATGGTATATAGCCTACTGAAGTTATGTATACCTTATGGAACCACCATAGTATATGCAGTCCATCATTGACCAAAATGTCATTATGCAGAGCATGACTGTACTGTAAAAAATGCCAATGGAATCTTGATATAGATTACAGTGAATATATAGATGGCTTTGGACATTTAAACAATACAAGTATCTCTGGCTTTTCGAAGGACTGTGCTATGCCACTTTGCTTTTATGATAGAACTATATCGCTACTTGTTTATGCTCAGCAAATAAAATGCCAATATTTTTGCTTTTATGAAAGAAGATAAAAACTGAAAGTAGCATTTAGTGTTGGTTTTGCAGCAAGATGGTGATAGAGGCAGCATGCACCCCAAACAGCAAGAGTGGCACTGCTTTTACCATACGTTAGTGTTATTTTAGGTTTTATGTGACATTTGGTGTGACTGAGTGGGTTATTTTGGGGTCTGAGAAGGCTAAAATTTTTTTTACATATAAATTAATGATAGCTGCTTCTCTTTTATACTATTTCCACTTATGAAAGGTTTCATAGGATGGACTACTTTCAGAGAGCAGAGAAAACCTGCATTACTTCTTCCAATGTTATGAATATGGGATATCTTTCCACTTGTATGTTGAGTTTTTGTCATGAATGTTAGTTGAATTTTGTCCAATGCTCTTTTTGCATCTATTGAGATCAGATGATTTTATCTTTCACTCCGTTAATGTGATGTATCATATTGATTGATTTATGTATGGTGAACAGTCTTTACATCCCAGGGATGAATCCCACTTGATTCTGGTATATGACAATTTTAATGCGCTGTTTAATTTGGACTTGTAAAATGAGTTTAGTAGTGTTCCCTCATCTACTTTTTGGAAAAGTCTAAGAAGGAATGACATTAATTTGTCATTAATAGTTTGGTAGAATTCACTTGTGAAGCCATCTGGTCCTGGGCTTTTCTAGTTGGGAGATTTTTGATTACTGATTCAGTGTCCTTACCAGTAATTGGTGTGTTTAAATTTTATATTTGTTAATGATTCAGTCTTGGTAGGTGGTATGGTTCTAGGAATTTATCCATTTCTTCCAGGTTGTCCAATTTGTTGACGTATAAAGGCATACCTCTTTTTATTGTTCTTCACAGGTGCAGTAATTTGCAAACTGAAGGCAGGACACCTTTCTCAGCACAAAGATTACAACTAGTTATTTCAATGCTTGTTTTCTTGTGGTGGTTTGGAACCAAACTCACAGTATCTCTGAGGTGTGTATGTAATTGTTCTTAGTAGTGTCCTATGATCCTCTGCATTTTTGTGGTATCAGTTGTAATGTCTCTTCTTTTTTGAAATTCTAATTTTGAGTCTTTTCATTTTTTTCTCGGTTAAAGTTTTGTCAATTTTGTATTTATCATTTCAAAGAATCAATACTTAGTTTTGTTAAACTTTCCTATTCTCCTATTCTGAATTTCATTTATTGCTGCTCCAATCTTTATTTCCTTCCTTCTGCTAAATTTAGGCTTAGTTCTTTGAGATATGAAGTTAAGATCTTTTTTTCTTGATGTATGCATTTATCCCTATAACCTTCCCTCTCAGAATGGCTTTCGCTGCATCCCATAATTATAGGTATGTTGTGTTTTCATTTTCATTTGTCTCAAGATTCTTTTAAATTTCCCTTTTAATTTCATCTTTGATTCATTGGTTTTTTAGGAGTGTTGTTTAATTTCCATGTATTTTTGTTTGTGTGTTTGTTTTCTTCTTATTGATTTCTAGTTTCATTGTGATTAGAAAAGATACTGGCCATGACTTCAGTTTTCTTAAATTTGCTAAGACTTGTTCTGTGGTCTAACATGGTATCTTAGAAAATGTACCTTGTATGATTGAAAATAATTTTTAGTCTGTTGTTGTTGGAGGAAATGCACTGCATGTGATTGATAGGTCCATTTTGTCTAGTGGTCATTCCAAGCCTGCTATTTCCTTATTGATTTTTTATCCGGATGTCTCCAGAGGGACAAATTGTTTAGAGGGAGGTAGTCAATTCCCCTACTCTTATTGTATTGCTATTTATTTTCTTTTTAGTTCTGCTATAACGTTTGTTTTATATATTTAGGTGTGCTGATATTGGGTGCATAAATATTTACAATTGTTAAATCTTGATGGGTTGACCCTTTGTCTTTTGGAGTTTTTAGCTTAAAATTTATTTTGTCTGATATATCTATAGGAAGCTAGTCCTGCTTTCTTTTAACATCTGCTTGAAATATTTTCTTCCATCCCTTCACTCTTAGTTTATCTGTGCCTTTAAAGCGAATGTAAATCTCTTGTATGTAGTATATTGTTTGGATCTTGTTTTTCACTCATTTTGAAATTCTATGGTTTTGAATGGCGGATTTAAATCCATTTACATTTAAAGTAACTACTGATTGATAAGGATTTACGATTGTGATTTTGTTGTTTTCTGATTTAGAGATCCTATGTTCCTTCTTACATCTTGCACTCATCTTTTATACTTTGATGACTTTTTATAGCACTGTGCTTCTGACTCCTTTATCATAATCTTTCAAAAAAGTTTTTTTTCTTTATTGATTTTAGAGAGAG